CTACATTTAATTTTACGATCTATGCGTAAACATCATGACGACTTGGAAGCATTAATAACCGACCTTGAGTCACCGCCTGACCGAGTATGTCTCAGCGAAAATAGGCTTTATGAAGCCGAGGATATAAATTGCTTTGAATGAAAGAAGAATGAAGGAGGAGTCTTAGTTCAATGTAACGAAAATGGTCTCTCATTGAAGAACACCGGAGTTCGTTAGCAGTTAGTTTATTAATTTACGTGAAAGTATTCCACTTAACGCTGTTTATTATCCAACTAAGCCGACAAAGTTTGTTTTCATGATGAACTACGAAAGACTCTTGTAGCTTTAAACAAAAAACATCCTGTTATAACCTGCGGTGACTTCAATATTGGTATTTAAAAAAGCGAATAATTTCTCCCGAAAAATTATGATGTCATTGAAATCAATGGCTTTGAACAGCTGACCGCAAAACCAAGGCGAATTGCAAATACAAATGAAACTCTCAGATGACTTCATTCTTTAAAAGTTACAGCCAGACCTGCTCAAGTACGAGATAACATGTCAATTTCTGATCGCACTCCGATTACTTTCGACTACCAGTTTTACACGTCGCACGGAAAAAAACGAAGATACTAAAAATTTATCACGATACTTGTTTTCTTAAGTCAATAGTAAACGTTGACAGCTTTAATCTGGAAAAGAACGTTAACAGCTTTATTCTCAAAATCATTGATAAACTACTAACTAATCAGAATCATTAGATGATTGCTTTCATCAGTTTGAATCAAATCACGATAGTACTAAAGCAAATTGCTCCTTTTAGATAGTCAAGTTGAAAAGCAACTCAGTGTTCATGGATAATTCTTAAAAAAATTGATTGCGAAACGTAACCAGCTATCTAAACCATGGTCAAAACAATCAATCTCGAATGCAGGAAATCGATTCAAAATTGCTAGGAAGTAAACTGAGATAGCAACAAAGAATCCTGGCCCATGAAATACCACAATCTAACTGAAAGCTTATCAATGAGAAGCTCAATTTTTCTACGCGATATATACAATTACCAAAACAAGTAGTAGAAATTAAAACGTCCATGCAGTACACGACATCAACTGGTTTAGATAAAACTATCAATGTCATTTTTAAAAGAAGCCTAGCTAAAAATGTACCCCTACTGGAAGTTTTCATAAATAAGTGGTTCAAATCAGCCTTCCAGCCCAGCTCAACTGCTTGATGAAGAAGAATCAAAGCTGTACAATATCCCTTCTCGTAACCTGGAGTAAAGTTTTCGAGCGTGCTATGTACAACAGAAAATGGGAATATCCGGAATGCTTTTCCTTAAATTATGTTAAGCAGTTTTTTTCGAATAAAAAAATATCGATCTTAATGGCTTGAAGTGAGTAGCAGTATATCGCGAGGTTCCATTTCGGCAACCCCTTTGTTCCTGATATCAATACCTCATGTTCCTCATACAGAAAGTTTGCAAATCGAATGAAACTTTTTTTGTTTGCAGATGATACAAACATAAGAGGGGCGAATCGATCTAACTGGGGCGAAACGATGAATAAATTTTATTAAATTATCACTGAAAATGAACAAAACTGTGTATTTAAACTTTTCCTCACTTAATGTTTCCAAAAATTCGTTGATTCAAAAATTCGCCATTTTGTTCCAAAATCAGTTTTAGTCCAATACTTTACGTCAAACAATTAGCCAATTCTGCAATACGGATTTCTGGTGTATTGATTTCGTGCGGAACAGAATCAGAAAACAAGGCGGACTTGATTTTATAATTCGTTAGAATGTCCAAAATCGAGTTTAATCTTATACTTTAGGTCAAATATTCAGTCAATTCTGCAATACACTGTTCTGGTGTATGGAAGAATAAAAAAAATAGACGGCCTTGAAGCTCTTTGAATTTGTGGAACAACTTATGATGGACACTTTGTTTGTTAGAATTAACCCAATTTGAGAAAACTGGAACAAAAACGTAAAACTTTTATCTAGCTGGGAAATCTGACACAAAGGCAGAGCTTCGCTTCGGAAAACTTGCGAAAACACGAAAAAAGCATCTTTTAAAAGGTAATGACAAAAACTAGAAAAAAGCCTGGAACTAGTAAAAATTCGGCTACCTCTGAGTTTCGAACTTATGACCAAGAGATTAAGAGTCTCACACACTAACCACGGAAGCTTACTAAACACCAAACACTAGCCACAACAAATAAAGCAGAGAACAGATGCTATGCAATTTCCAATGCTACAGTGAAATTTTCAAATACGTGAACACTTATAATGAACACTTTTATTTGCGAGTCAGGTTGGAAAAAAAAAGTTAGAAAGATTCGTAATAACACACTATGGTGATCTCGAAAGTAATAAATAATTTACTTTTTCGAAATAAGAAGTCGATCACGTTTTTTGTGACCTTTACACTTTTGCTGTTCGATGGTGGAGTTTGCCTTCCTTTTAACAATGAAAATACATTGAAACTAACTGTAACGCACCTCCCGTGCTTAGAATTTTTAACAACTCATAAAAACCGTATATATTGAAAAAAAGATCTGCATCCTTCAAGTTTACCCTGACAGCAACCAATTAAAGGGTGGGTAGTTTCAAAATTTTCGAAGTTTTTTATCAAGTTTTATTCAAATTTCAAAAACCATAAAAATTTGTGGTTTTGAGTTCTTTGAAAAAATTTAAAATGAACGAAGAAACGTCACAATTCGAAAACTTCAAATAAAGATTTGCAACTCATGAGAGTATTGTCATAAAAAGAAACTACATGGTTAGGAATTTCAAATTGAGAAATTTTTCAAATTTAAGTTTTCTCAAAACAAAACTTGAAAAAAATTAATTTCATATTTCGAAAAATTTACAGACTTGAATAGTCATATTTGGAGGCAAGATTCGCAAATCCTGAGAGTACTGGGACAGCCCTCAACTACAGGGTGAGGAGCTTCAGATTTTGAAAAACAGTTATTTAAGTCTTCTAAAATTTTTTTTGAAAAAGTCAGAAAAAAACGTCATCTCTAAAAAACTAAAACAATTTGAGCAGTCAAGTTTAGAGGCACGATTCACAACTTCCGAGAAACTGAGAAATCTATAATAGCGCCCAAAACAGAGCTGGGAACTCCAAATTTTGAAGAAAAAAGTAAATTCAAGTTTTTTAAAAAAATCACAGAAAAACGTCATATCTTGAAAACAACAAGGATTTGAGCAGTCAAATTCGAAGGTGAAAATCGCAACTCCTGGGTGTACCCTAAAAGAGCCTCACTATAGAGATGGGAACTTCAAATTTTGTGAAATTCATTATATCAAAAATCTTTGAAAAATCTTAAGAAACGTGCACTCTCAAAAACTACAAGGATTTGAGCAGTCATATCCACGGGCAAGATTCGCAAGTCCTGAGAGTACCCTCACATTTTCCAAATACAGTATAGATACCTTCAAAATTTTTGAATTTTATCAAATCTTAAGTTTTTCGAAAACTTTTTAAAAATCATAAAAAACGTCTCTAAAACTACGAGTACTTGAGAAGTGAGATTTGGAGGCAAGACGCGCAACCCCTGAGAGTACCCTGACAACTCCCACCTACAGAATTGAGAACTTTAAGTTACCAGAAATTGTTAAGATTAAGTTTTAAGAAAAATCTCGAAAATTGCCGTATCTCGTAACCTAAAAGGATTTGCTTATTCATATATGGAGGCCAAAATTGCACCACCGGAGAAACTCTGACAGCATCCTACTATTGGGTCGCTATTTTCATACTTGGTGAAATAAATAGTTTCAAACAGGAAAATAGTTTAAAAAATCTTAACCATTGCAATATACGATATTGCTTAAACGTGAAAAAACTCCTTTATTTAACATAAAAAAATACGTTGAAAAACATTAAACATGGCGAGATAGTGAAGCCCGCATTTAAACATAATGGAATAGATTAAGAAACATAGCCAATCGACGATTGCAAAAGAGTAAGGAACGCAAGTAAACAAGAAAAACTCACTTTTATGAAAAAATCTCAACTTTCGAAGTTCTAAGAAAAAAATAGATGCCCTTTCGGCTCTTTGAATTTCTAGAACGATTTACGATTGCCGCTTTTTTGATAAAATTAATCCAACTAGAGAAAACTGGATCAACAGGTGAAGTTTTTATTCCGCTGGAAATCTAAAAATTAAATTCCACTTTCGAAATTAAAAATCGTTCATGAATTTTTGCGCCAATTCCACGTTCATATTCGGATAGTGCAACTTGCCTCACTTTCTGCCGATGAGTTTCAACTGAACTGAAAAAAAAACATATTTACCGAAGGGCATCAATATTTTAAAACTTTTTCCTGAAAAAAATCAATAAGACCTATTTAAGAGTCATCACTAAGTTCATTACTTTTGAAAAATCACAAGTCAAACCGCGAACAATCAAAATTGAGCGTGAACAAATTTTACGTGAAAAAAAAAAAAAAACTCACGAAGACCTATATGAGAGCATTCACTAAGTTCATGACTCTTAATAAACAATATAATTTTCACAAAAAGAGAAAAAATCAAACATTTTGTTTTGCGATCTTAGCTGAGATAGGAATCTTCTGTTCTACTTAAACATCGAGGGCCTTTTGAACTGTTTTTTAAACTGCATAAGCATCAACATACTTTTTGAGCTACCGTGTCAAAGGAACAACGAATTGGCACCGATATTGTATCTTAAGCTTCAAATCGGTTGTTCCTATTTGAAATATATTCCGGTCTATTGAAACATATTAAAATTTTTTCAGTCCTGATTCAATAGATACTTGCAAATATCCTAACAAAAAGTTGTCTCGGCAAACCGAGTTAAAATTTAGGCTAATTAAGAGTGAGTTTCTCTATTAATTATGACTTTTCAAGCTTGAATTGATTTTTGCTTTTGTTCAATGTTCGCAAATGTGATCGGATTCTTCTGTTCTACTTCCACAGCGAGCGTCTTTTGTTCCGTATTTTTTGGCTGCATAAGTCACCATACTTCTCAAGCTGCCTTGACAAAAGAAATAGCAAAAATTATATTGCAATATTCTGGCATATTATCAATAGCTATGTACAGAGATTGCTAGGGTGGAAAAGTATTGCAAACCCTATTATAAGCAACGGGTTAATTTTTCAAAGGGGGAAATTTCATAACATTGGATCCATTTTATGAAGCAAAATGGACCAGCATGCAAACGAAACAATAAAAAAAGCCTTTGACATTACAAATTGGCAGCGCCATTTCAAGCAACGAATTTGGTCCGCAAACTGCATGAGAATTCCACAGCAAAACTATGTTCATCGCATCATATATACTTCTACTTCTACGAGCAAGAAAAACATCAAAAATATATGTTTGCTTTTCCGGATATCAAAATTTAGGATACGGCTATTAGGATAATATCTTTGAGCATTGTCGGAGCACTCTGAGTCGATGACGTCATAATATGCACTTCAAAGATGTGTATTTCAGTTCTAGACCATTCTTGTAGAGTCTTAGATTTATGTTAGCTGGTGATCCTTCTAGAACATTCTAGTGACAATGTTCGTTGGGATCTACGACAGGTCCGCAATGCCACCAGCCACAGACGAAATATCCAGCTCCGAAGCCGAGGATGACAGCGAGGAATAGCCAGACGTTGAATGTCATCACCACCAACATGAGGATGTAGCTGAGTGCCATCTGCACTACATGGAGTCCAGTTTGAATCAGGTGGCACTTGGAGAACATCTGATACCTCCAACTAAAACACATAACACAATAATACTCAACACTTTTGTCCCGAGGTTCACTGAAACCCGCACTCTTTTCTTGAGGGTGAGACAATCTTTCGCAGGGCAGAAAAATATCCAAAAAATGCTTAGTTTATGATCATGGTAACCGGAGCGGTTTTCCACCATAAAAGTTGAACATAGCTTACGATGGTCATTTCACACGTGTACACACCTAGTCATTCTAACACACATTTTTTTGTTTGCAGTCAGGTGCAATCAATTTATCTAGCTCTCTGCGACACACATGCGTTTCTGAATAACTCAATTACGGTCAATTAATTTTAAGGGAAGAAGATGAGCATGATTCTTCGAGTCTCATATGTTTCACATATCTCAGGCATGCATCATTTAGAGCGACAAATATCACACTTTTAAGCGGTAGCTATCGATCTTTCACAGCGATCAGCCATAGTTGTTCACGTCAACGTCTCCAGGATGCGCTCATCAACAAATAGAAAAGCTACGTGCTCTTAAGCTGAAAACTAATTTTGGCTCAGCAAATGGTCCTTTGCACGCACTCGCACGGTCAATCATTTATTGAAACTCCTAAGGAAATGGCTTTTATTTGTCATTATTCACATCACCTAGAGCATTTTTACAAAATCAACCAGAAACACTACAGGCAATAGCATGGTGGAAAAATTAAATCCTGATCAAAAATACACATTCCGAAGAGCGTGCATTCTATTATTTCAGATTTTCAAGCCGCCAAAAGGAAACGCATTTATTTCAACCATCAGTGATTTCTTTACATTGGGATTGCTCGTAGGCAATAGTTCCCACATTTACGGAAAGAACACGCGCTGCAAACAACACTTAAGAGATGAGTTTCCATTTTCCCAAGTGCTCTTTAATCGTTTTTGGATCATTTGCTTAAAAGCATTTCATACTTAGCCATGTCACAGATAGTTGATCGTCGACCACTTAAGATTTCAAAGAAAATTCATTTTGCAAAAAAAAATCAAAAAATTTGCATCCCATCTCATACCATTACTTCGAGTGTAAAATAGCGAAATCGAAAACCTTTTTTTAAATTTTAAGACGAGGGGGTTGAGAATTACTGAAAATATTATTCAAAAACAATCGCACCGAACTTCACGAGAAAAAAACATCGAACAGAAGTTCGAGAACAGCCATATATTTAACACGGAGGCCAACCTGCACTTGGCAAAAAAACGCCAAGTGTAGCTTTAAAAGTGTCTATATAGACAAAAAAGAGAAATTAGTTTTATGAAAGCATCCACGAGCTGCCAATAATAAGCAACAAAAGTGCCATCAAAATGAGCACTTTCACTTGCGATTGGGTTGGTTAAAAAAAGTAGATTCGCGATATGACAGTGCGCTCGCTAAACCGCATGTGTAAGCATATACTGCATATAAAGCAGAAAGCATTTAACTTCAAATTGACGGCTAAGAAACAAAATATTAATTATCAAATGAAGATATACAATCAATTCACAAAAATGGGACATAGATGGAAAAGGGTGAGTTCAGTTACCTTGTGGCCATGAATCCATGAGGAGGTATCATCCTGAAAACACAAAATGATACACAGCCCGAGATGATACCACGAAACACATCACAGTGAACAGACTAATCATCGGCATGAAAATACTTATGATGTAACAGATTCCTCAAAAGGGGTCATTCTTGTTACGCCATTGGTTTACAAAGAACACCTTAACGCTTTATACCCATTAAACGCCTGTTATCAGTTGAAGTGATGTCGTCGAATAAAATAATTCTTATTTATGATAAAAACTACCCCCATATCGAACCCAGAAACCTTATCAGAAAAGCTCCAACATTTAAGTTCTGCATCATTTTCAGAACAGTCCCTTTTTATTATTTTTGTTGACAAACACTCGGTTTATTTCACCTTTTAAACCCAAAGCTGATATTGAGACTTCCTTCTAGCCCCAATTATAACCATTGTCACGAAGCTTTAACTTAAGACCGGAAAAGATTTCTTTAGAGTCAGGAAGTAGAAACAATACTTATAAACTATAATGAACACAAGAGCGGAAAGGAAACAACACTCACTGAATCTCGACTAGTTCCTGGGCCGCTGGATGAGACATTCGACTCCTGCTAGCTTCTATACATGGACATGGTTCAACCTGTGCTGCAGTCTGCATCACTAGAGGTCCTGTCCCATTGGCATTTTCGGTACAGTGGTTCAAGTGGTTGATAGTGTTCTCGTCTAAATTCCCGGCTGCACTGCTCACCGGGAGAGTGCACTTTTTATTGCTGATATCTCTAAAACAAAAAGAACGCTTATAAAAAACTGGCTATATATTACAATAAGAGAGCCGCTACTACATTAAAAATATATATATTACAATAAGTGTGCCGCTACTAACTATATTCAATGACAAGATTAGCAGGTTGCTGTGCAGAACAGAACACTCCGACCATTGCACCAAAGCGAAAAACTTCAAAAAAACAGAGGTGAAGCACAGCGGAGCTTCGCACGACTGAAGAAACTGCACAATTACAACATTACAAATTAGCGGACTCAAATTAAAAAGAAAGCCACAAAGTAATTTTTTAAAGACTAAAAAAGACTATTACCAAAACTTCATTTGTCTCAAATGACGTTCAATTTGAGGAAAACGTGTCAAGGAACACATTCCACAGCGTTAAATAAGTACTCGAATAATTTTTGGTCTAATTTCAAGTGGGTAAAGGTAAGCGAGTAGGTTTAAAATAGCTTATTTATGCTTAATGGAAGCCGCTCAAACTTAATTTTATTCAATGCCAAAATTGATTTTTTTAACGTTTTTTTTAGATTTGTTAATTGTTTTTTTTAGTAATTTTTCTACAAAAACTGTTGTCCAATTTGCCTATTTTACTGTCGAATACGCCTAAATGTAGTATCTCTGAAAAACATTTTTTTTTGTAAGTTTCAAGACTATGGTCGGAACATTCTGCACTATTGTAAATTAAACGTCTCTCCGGTAAGTTCCGAACTTTTTTCAACTTTCGAATTTAAAAAAATTAATCACGTTAAAGCTCTTTGAACTTCCAGAATTGTTTACGTACGATCGGCACTTTTTTCTTGTGCCATTCAGCGGAAACTGGATCAAAATATTATTTCATTCCGCTGGATATTCAGAAAATTAAAGCCCCATTTTAAACCAGAAAAAATCTCGTTTTTTGTGGCTCTCACACTTTCGCTGATCAAGTTCAAACCACAGAAAAATCAAAATTGAGCGTAGCCAACAATTTAATGATAAGAAAAGTTTGTGTTCTGGTAACTGTCTACAAAAAAAAAGCCGATAAATGATCGGCCGACATTTTTGAAAGATTAAAATTGCAAAAAGAAACAGGTCCTTATTGAATTCAAACTCTTCGGAACCATTGTTGTCCCTTTCAGACATTTCCGCTGAATGAGTTCAAAATGAGGAATTTGATTTCTAAAAAAAAACATAGCAAACAGACAGTTGGAAAAGAGTCAGTGAACGCAATTAAACAGAAAAAAACTGACTATGTTTTTCGAAAAAATCTTATGTATCGACGTTCAAAGAAAAAATAGATGCCCTTAAAGCTCTTTGAAATTCCAGAACTATTTATGATTGGCTCTTTGGCGATAAAATTAACGCAATTTGCGAAAAGTGCACCGATAGGCAAATTTTTTATTTCGCTGGGAAATCTAATAATTTAAATCCATTTTCGAAATTAGGAGTCGACCACGCTTTTGGTAACATTTTAAACTTCATTGTTTGATAGTGTTGTTTGCCTTCCTTTGAACGAAGAAAAAGAACTGAGCTTAGAAACAAATCAAAAGCAAAATTGGATTGAAACCAAACATCGAGTATTATAATGATCGTGAGCAAGATCCATTAGGGCATCAAGCTTTAAAGCGAGTAGTTTTTTCGACTTACCAACTAAATCGAACTTTTTTCGTATCCAAATCACGACTGAAAGGGCTGTAACATGAAACCTCACTCAACCCCTTATGAGCTGTCTAAGACCAGGCGAAAAAAAACGTAGCGAAGAAACAGTTAGAAGTGTCAATGAACGCAAGTAAAAAGAATAAAAATACTGACTTGTTTTTTGAAAAAATTTCAACTGTCGAGAAAAAAAGATAGCATTAAAATTCGTTGAAATTCTAGAACATTTTAGTATTGACCCTTTTTGGATAAAAAATAATCCAATTTGAGAAAACTGGATTAAAAAAATAAAATTTTTATTTCGCTGAAATTTGAAAATCAAATTCCACTTTCGAAATTAAAAGTCAATGACGTTTTTCGTGACTTTAACAATTTCACTGTTCGATAGTGGAGTTTGCCTTCGTTTTAAGAAAAGAAAAGAACTGTGAACTGGAATAAAATAAAAAAAGTATATATTATCGCGACCTATATGAGAGTCTGAACTACGTTCATCGACTCTTAAAACATCATAATTCTTTATCCCTCTTAGAGTGGACGAAACAATAACTACAATAGCTGGTAACGATAGTTGATCCGCAAATTGTTTAAGGTCTGTTGTTCGATACCCCCAGGAGCCTAATATAATGCAGCGCCATATGCTTGAGCTTTATACAATATTACCCTTAAAGTACTGACTTACAATATTTCCATACTGACTTCTATTGCTTCACATTCGAGCAAAGAGCATAGTTCATGGGTGGGCGTCTAGCTGGGTCTCGGATAACTGGCGTTTCGACTGAGAGTTGGAAACCTTGTCTACTTCACCGCTGCGCCTCAAGCAACTTAGATCAGGTGAACAAGACAATCGGTTCTTAATTTTTTAATCCAGTTTAGAGCAAAGGATGAGTTGACGCATTCACTCTTTGCTCAATTCTTCCAGCAGATACTTTTTAACGCTATGTAAGTCGTTAATAACTAATTCTTGAAGCTAATGTTAGCGCCTTCGTACATAACCCCAGTACAAAATTTCACTTTCCGAAAGCAAATGCGGTCGGAATACTCTGTACTGCGTGCACGTTACGTTCCTTTTCTTGTAAACATTGAAGCATGTCGTACCTGATTATGATCTCCTGTCGCACTGCTTTTAAGACTTCATACAGGAATGCGATGATAAACCAAAAGAAACAAGAGAGCAGAATTTCTGAAACATGCGGTCACTATTCAAGCCTCATTAAACCAAGTGAAAAGAAAGCAGACTATTGAATTAATATAAGCTCGAAGACTTACGCCATGTTTCTTCAGTTTTCCAGTCTTTGAACAGAATTGTAGTTGAGGCGGACGCGGTGAACCACATCTAAACCAAAGATTCATAGTCACGTGAGCTAACTTCTAGACAGTTCAAAATTTCATAGATATGAAAACTTGTTACAAATCAATTGAGATTTTTTCCATTTAAAAACGCAAAACATACAAAATAAATAATAACGCAGGTTGTTCAAAAACAACATGAACAAGCATGTTTAAAAAAACAGCTGATCAATCAAAAATTTAAGTCCTCAAAAAACTCCTCTTTAAATGGCCTCTTACAGTAGAAGAAGATGCGAAAACAAGACTTGAAGTTAAAGAAGAATACAGAAATCCACTCGCTTACGAACCACTTGACCATTTCAGCAGTTCATTAGAACTGTCAGTACAACGAATACAAGCAGCTCTGAGTACCATGAGCAGCAATGAATGCGAAATGAATTAGAAGGTAACAGCTAAAAAACATAGTTTAATCAGCCGACATAATTGAATCAGATACCCAATTTTTTTAGAATAATAATTTCAGTTTCAATACTCCTAATACATCATTGTAACAGTCATTCGCCCCGTCATATAGCTCTTGGCTCGAAGCCAGGACACTAAGAAACAGTCTTTCAAGCGCCGTTACGTTTGGAGCTATCAGTTTGTGGATCAAAAACATCAAACTATGTGAACGTCTGTTTTTACGCCGCTATCCCGCAATCCGTTAGTTCCGGTTGAGGGATGTAGGTTTTCATTGATCAGTTTTTAGCTTGATCCATCTAGTATGGATTCAACACTCAACTAGCCTTACTCAAAACAGCAAGAAATGAGTTAGGACCGAAGTGTAACTCATAGAGTAATTTCGGATAGGGTACACCGTCTGCTCGTCACGCTATCTTATTTTCGGCCGGATAGATTCGTGCAACTTCTTAGTCTAATACCGATCCTAATCTTACTCTTATACTATCTAGTCTCAGGTTGTTTAACTAGTCTCTGCTAGGCTCAATAGATCTAGGGTATACTGGTTTATTGCGGCTGCTGAAGTGCTCGGGAGAGTCCAACTAATTTCTAAGTTAAATTCAAATCTCTCTGGTGCTGAAATTACAAGTAACTTCAGCACTTACAAATAAGTGGGTTGTTAGTTAGATGGATCATGATTGGTTAATATTAAATACTTTACATTGGTAAAACATTTAATTTATCCAATCATAAAATATAGTTTAGATCAGGTTCCACCCATCCGGGTTTTACAGAGTTTTTTTGAACAGTTCTTCTGTAATTCAAGGGTGGATGATGGACGTTGGTATTTGGCGAACATCATAATTTTCTTTCGCTTCTTCTTGTGACAACGACTGAGTCTCTGCAACAAAGTCAATTCTGATTCCAGAATGGTTGGCTATGTCAGGTTTTTCTGTTCTGCGTGGAGAACTTCTTTTGTGTATGATCTAGTTTGGGAATGGCGTGGAGATTGTGCGTGGAGGGGATGCCTGGTTACTCGGATCTGTACGTATACTTGAACATCGAGGTGGTCATTGGTCTAGTTCAATGAAGTCCTTTTCTGCGAAGTCAAGTCGTACTCTAAATCCTTTGAGTTGTGATTGTGAGCGGCATATCGATTGTAGTTGGTCATTCTCTCTCGAGTGTAGTGAGGTCGTCTTGTCTTTTGATGTTCGTCCTTGGTGTTGTATTCTGATCTATATATTGCATCATGTGATTTTACATTTTATAAAACTTTTATTAGTTTAATATTTTTTATAATGATTTTAGTTAGTTGTTTTCACAAAAGCTTTTTGTTTTAGTTCGGTTATTTTGAAGAGTTACTCACCCTTGAGTAGCTCTTATTAAAAATAAAGGTGTGGTCACAAAGCGTGGATGTAGCGCGGTGGGTTAGGCCGGCTATAGAGCATGCTCAGGACGTCCTTTCCTGGTGGGTTAGGCCAGGAGTGGGAGTATGATTTCATGCGGTGTTTGTGAGGGGTCCTGTTATGTGACAACGTTTTATGTTGGGTTTGTTGTGGTTTTACTTATGTCTTGTTGGTTATGTACTTTTTCCAAAAAGCAAATTGTTTGTGGTATGGGTTTGTCTTTCGACTTTTTTGTGTTTTATTATTTCTTTCTAAGACTTTGTAATAGTCTTCAAAAGAATAAATTATCCAGTTTTAAACTGGGTTAATCCGGTTTGGGTACCGTTGGTTTCCTTTTCTAAGTCATGCTGTTATTCTATGATTTGTGGTATTTAGTAAGCTGCGTTGGTTAGTTTTGTTTAGTATATGATTCCTTTCCAACCGGGTTAAAGGAAAGTTTGAAACATGTTATTGTATGTTAGAGTTGTTGAGTGTGAAAACTTGAAACTGAAATTCATTATTTTAAGCAATTCTTCGTGGGCGAGCTGTGCGAGTGTGGATAGAATTTCTGTGCGAATGAATGAAAATATCAAAAGGTTAGTACTGCAATTGCATTTTATTAATTTACTACATAGAATTTAGAAATTTACTGCTAGTTATGGGAGAATTTTAAGATACAAATTTTCATCATATGTAGATTTACTGCTTTTGGGGGGAAATTTTATAAATTAATTTACTGCATTGGTATTATATTTATTTAATTGTTGGTGCAAAAGTTTAATAGGGTCTTAAACAGTTTTGAAGAAGTTTGCTATTTTTTATTTTTCTTTTGTGAATTTTTCAGATGATCTAGGATGAAGGCTAAAAATCTAAAGAAAACATGAATAAAGAATGGTGAGTTTTTAATACTGTAATTAATTAGTAATATTTACTTAATTCATACTTACCTGTTAGTCGTCGGGGAAAAAACCGTGGGGGAAGATGTCGTGAATTAGTTCTGAAGTTGTTAGTAGTTTAGCTAAGATGCGGATGATATTTTTAGTTTGAAGCAGTGGCCAAAGCAATTGAAGTGCCTTAATAGTGGTTAGTTCTTCAGTGCCTACTGCAAACTCATAAGGTGTGTTTTGGATTAAGTTATATAATTTGTGGTTAAATTTAGTGTTGTGGATGAATTCTAAAATTGGGATTTCTATAGGTTGTAGGAACTCGTGCGGGATAAGGAAGGGTCGGGATTCTTCGGCGTTGAAGGTCTTGGTGATGGGGCAGAAAATGTACATTTGGGTTATGGGGTCATAATTACGAAGAATACCATGGAGGTTAGTGTCTTTAATACAATATGTGAAATTTAGGAAATATGGTGAAGTGTATTTTGAATTGATGAATTGGAAACGATGGTGTGGTTGTCTAGAGGGTGTGTGGAGGTCAAAGTGATTTTGGATGAAACGATAGTAACTGTATGTATGTGTTTGTTTAGTGCGCAACATAATATCGTGTGAGCAGTGTAAATCTCTTTCGTGTGGTGCAAGGAAATGAAAGGTTAGTGAAAATATTTGGAAGCGTTCTTTAAAACTTTCGTATGCTTGTGTGTCTGTTAGTGCTTCTGAAATAATGTGATCAAACTTGCGGTCGAAGATGTTTAGTGTAAATATATATGGTGTCTTGATGAAAAATTTCTCGGTGATTTGTGGATTAGCGAAGCGATCGTCGTCTAAGAATTGATCTTGGTTAGCTCTAATGATGTTGTGATCGTAGTATTCTAGTGTATATTCATTAGCTCTAGGTGCAGTGTGTATTTTTAGTGATTTTTTATATCCAACGTAAGTAAATTGTCTAGCGGTTAGTGGTGTAGTGAGTTGATATAGCATGTCCTTGTTTCGTTCTATATCGATGGAAGTGCTGGATAAAGGTAAGCAAAGAGGGTTAGTGAAATGATAGTATGAGGTCCAAGAGAGAGTGGGCATTAAAACGTATTCATCTACAAAGTTGCGTGTTTCGTTAGCGTCGTGAGGGGTGTTTAAAGTGCATTGTGGAAACGAGGGTAAGGTGATAGCTAAAAATTCTTTAGTGTTAGTATGCTGGGGGTGGTTGATGTATTCACGGGCTGTTCCTGGTTTTGCTGGGAAAGGATGGTTGGGGAATTTTCTTTTAAAAGTGCGGTAAGCTCTATTAGTGTTTAGTGAAGATATAGTGGATGTGGATGATGGTGTTAATGATTCAGTATAATTTGAAGAGGGTGTAGGGGGATTGGATGAAATTGTAGTGGAGGAGATTTGGTTTATGGTCGGGGTGTTAAGGTGGTAGGGTTGCTGTTGGAGGGTAATAAAATTATCTAGCTCTGAGGAGATTCGGGGGGTGTCTGGAGAATGAGATGATTGGTCAGATTGGTATGAGGAGTAGGTTGGGGTAACTTGGGAAGCATAAGAGGGTGTCGGAGTGATTGGGTCAGGGTTATTGGACAATATGGGTTGAAAAGGAGGTTGAGAAAAATTAGAAGGGTTATGAAAATTATTGGATGGGGATGGTTCTGAGTCGGCAAATTCATCGGGGGTTTCAATATTCGGGTTATTTAGCTGTGAGATGGAGTATAAAACTGAAATATGTGAGTTAGTGTCGGAATTCATGCCTGATGTTACATTGCTAGATGGAAAATCGGGTGGCGGAAAAGCAAAAAGTGGTATTATTGGGATTGGGGAGGTAAGATTGGTTGGGTGGGAATTTGATCGGTGTAGTGATCCAAGTTGGCGGCTCATCGTGGGCTAAAAAAATGATTATTTTGAGACTGAAAAGCGGTGGTATGGGGTTGTTCAATAATTTGTTCATAAGTATTATCATCTTGTGACTGGTGTGTCATTATATGTTGGACGGGACTTTGTGATGTATTGAGTCGAAAATTTGGATTATGTGTGATTGCTAAATTTCGAAAATTTCGTGGGACTAGGGATAGTGGATGGTTATTTGGTAGGGGTGGTAATTGTGGTGCCGTTGGCTGTGTGTCGACATTGTTATGTTCTTCGTCGTATGTATTTTGTCGTGTTGTTATTTTTGTGTTATATTCTTTTATTTGTGCGTCTAAAAGAATTTTGTTTATAGATGTAGAAAAGATTCCAAAAAATCCTGCAAATAGTATGCGTGCTACACTTGCTTGTCTGTTTACTTGTGTGTGTATAGCACATGTGTTGTAGATTCCTTTTAAAAGTGAGAAAAGAAATCCAATAAAGTTAAA